TTTTTCTGTTCTATTCTCGTCGTCGACGCCTTCGTTTTTTTGGGCCTGTTGTTGTCATCGTCGCCTCCAGCACACCATGCTGGGCACCGGGAAAGACGGGATCGCGCACACAAAACGGCCCCCGTTCGCAATCTCTGACGGACGGCGCTGCGCACCCCCTTCGCGACCACCTTCCGGATATGCTCGACGCCATGACCACACCGCAGCTGCCGCCGCGATCAAGACTTCACCGTGCGGGAGGATTTGTTGCCCGTTTGTGTTTTTTTTTTTTCAACCAGCCCCTCCGTCTCATTATATAGCTCGCCCGTTCTTTTTTCTAAACCGTGCGCCTCCGCGATACGCGCAGCCACGAGAATATCACGGTTCACTACTGCGGGTCACACAAAGGTGAAATGAGGTCGCTTGCGCCGCCGTTTCCACGCACTAGTGAACTGCATTGCTTGGAACTTAACAACGCTAATTTTCCAACACACACTTGATGGAAACGTGTTGGAAACATGTTGGACCAACGTTGAACGCATGTTGAAAACATGTTGGCCGCATGTTCGTAAACGGTTGGAAACATGGACCCGGCCGTTCTAAACGGTTGGCCACATCATTTCACGTAGTTCCAATGTTGGTCCAGTGTTGTGCCCAAGTTGAAAACTTGATGAAAATTTGCCACAATTTTTCTGTCGCTATGTAAGTGGGTGGTGACACTATATTCCTTGTCCACCGCTGCCATCATGGTAAACGGTAAACGGTATCAGCCTTTTGCACTTACCCGCTCCTTACGCCAGGATTGTCAACTCGCTCCCTTGCTTTTTGTTCATCAAATGGAAAACCTCCTCTGCAATATCAGGACGCATCCAGAGATAGTTGGTCTACAAGCAGACCCTTCTCAATGCAAAGTTATGGCCTTAGCAGACGACCTATTCGCTATCTGAAAAATACAATTCGTTCTCTACAAACTTTAAACTCTATCCGGATGAGTACTCAGAGTTATCGGAAGCCTCGGTTAACTGGGTCAAATCTGTTTTCTTTCTTCCCAACCAGTTTACCCCAGTTTTCAGCTGGGGTATGAAGCGCATAGAAGCAGGCTCTTCATAAAGATTCCTTGGAGTCCAAGTCTCATTGTTATCATGCTCTATCGATCAAGAGGGAATTCTCCTCCAAAAGGTTCCACAAAGAGTCTCCTTGTGGGGGAAAGACCCCCACTTGTCTATTTATGGGCGAGTAATGGTAATTAATGGTGTTTTTTTCGCCCTCCTGTGGTTTGTGGTTGTTGTCAGACCGCTAGGTAAACACTTATGCTCCCTGATCAGACGTCGGACGACCAAATTTATTTGGAAACCCTTTGCATCCGATCAAAAGGCCTTCATGTCAACGGTTGTCTGGGATCTGGTAACCTTTGCAAAGACCGAAGGTGGTATGGGCCTAACTGATCCCCAACGTAGAAGCCGGACAATGCTTTTCCGATGGCTTATCAAAGCCATGTGCTCTTCGCAACCAACCCACTGGATTGCATTTGTCGATACCATCTTAGTCAATGAATGAAATCTGCCTCCCCCCTCAGATGTATGGTCATGCTTCCTCTTGTTGTCGTACCAAAACATAAATATTAAATCTGATTTTTGAAAGTCAGTGATGTACGCCTGGAAACTCCTGAAACCTGACGCTTGGCTCCATCCAGTTACAAAGACAGAGGTTTTGTTGTAGCCAATATTTAAAAATCCTTACAACAGAAGAGTTGATGGTGCCTAGTTTGGAGTTGATACAACCCGTAACAGTTTCGGTCGTAGTTGGATAGAACGAGGGGTCCTCAGATTAGCCGACATGTGGAATGATTTAGAAGGTCAATGGCTTTCCCCGGCTGCCCTACGGGAAAACCTAGGTTCTTGCTGGTTTGTGGAGGAACTCTTCTCATAGATTCTTGACTCTCTCCCTTCAGCATGAAAATCCTTGTTGAATCCAGAAGGCACGGATCACCCAGGCACCTAGTATATATCTAAAAACTTGGATTCACCCCATGCTTTTTGGAAACTTACAGGCATAAACATCTTAGGAAGAAGGGAGTTTCAATGTTGGGTAGGTGTTGACGAGCAGACCCCCTCCACCTTGGTTCAACTTGAATGCCCTGCTCAACCCCCGTTGGACTCTCAATTATTTCAGGTTAGGGTATGAGAATGGTGTGATGAGGAAGGCAACTGGGCATGTAAAGTACACGTTCAAGGCAAGCCCTTGAAGCTCCTGAACTTAGACCCAAGAATGTGTGGCTGGAAAGACAAACTCCAGGAGGAGAGGATCTGCCACTAATTTCATACTCAGTCGACCTGGGCTATCAAGCTAAGGCCCCTTCCAGATCCCCTATGACAATGGCGGTATCACAGTGGAACCAAGTCTTGGACTACCAACCAGAAGTAATTGAACATTGTCTAGCACGTTTTTCGAAAGAGTTGGCGGATGCTCCCTATCCTAAATTGGTAGCAAATTTATGGCTATTATCCCTTTTGGCTACTCCATCAGCGGTCAACCTAGCATAGAGAGGAATGGGCGTAGACCTGACATGTAAGAGGTGCAACTGGGCATACGAATCTACTCCACATCTGTGGTACGATTGTCCCGCTTCCAAGCAAATATGTGATTGGTGGGCTGAACAATGGTCACAACTCGTAGGCCCAAGCTTCAAATGGGACAGAGATTGGGCACTGTTGGGTGGTATTCTAGACATCCTGGACACAAGGAAGGACATTGGCTATATAGCCCAGACTGCAAGAGTGGATTGCATTGCAGTAATTTGGAAAAGCAGAAACCTGCAAAACTTTGAAAAAAAAAAAAGTCAAATAAGGAATCGAGGTACATGACTCGATTTTCTCTGAGACAGATCCTCCAGGCTGACTGGAGGAAAAAAATTGGGGGTGCTTGGTCGAACTGGTTTGGTGACACATGAGGACTAGGGGGCAAGTTAGTGAGTCTTGATAATGGAAAGTTGACTCTGAACAACTGGTTTTTGAAAGAATAGTGTAATAGTGGGGATTAGACAGCGATTAGGAGGTAGAACTTGCACACTCGATTCCCTTGTCCACAAGAGGAAGACAAGTTGGCGATAAGTGAAGGGAGTGGTGATTTTCGAAGATCAACGGGTCCTGTTCGGTCCGGACTGCCATGTTAGGCAGAGGTTACTAACTCGGAAGATATATATGTAATATAGAAGTAGCAGATAGACACTGCTTGAGATACCCGTAGGATAGTATCAGGATAGGGTGGTTAGCTTAGAATGGTGTCTGGCCTTTTAGAATTGTGAGGTTTTTGCAGGCTTGAAACAGTTTCTTTTTCTTTTTTGGTTTGTGAGGCTTTGTTGGCTTGTAGCACATCCTTATTTCCAGGGTCTGAATTTTCAGGACAGCTGCCTAAGAATTGACTTCTCTGTGCCTGAACATTATTCAACCCTGCTTGGTACGAATAGTTCTCTCTGTGTTGATTGAGGGCGTAGCCGCACGAGACACGAAACGAAAAACGAAACGAGTGCATCTTCCTGCAGAAAATGGTCAGGTTCATTGGTCTGCTATAAATAGTAACGAGTGTATTTTGCCCCCTTTCGTGGGCAGATGCTGCCAAATACTCCGGGTTGAATTGTTTCTTTCTTTTTTTTTAATAAAAAGGTTAATTTTTTAAAGCCCAACCAATTCAATTACCTGTCAAATCTGAACAGGACAGCCTTTCAGGCCTTTTTTTACTGTCATTATAGTATTACAGGGAACCCCGTAGCAGCCACATCCCTGCTCAAGCCTCCAACGAGGGAACATGCGGGAGCTGCACCCACCAGCATCTGCGATACCTGTGACAGCAGGGGGGCGATACCGGCCAGGGGTCAGCCGGTAGCATCAGGACCGAGCTTCTTCGATGGGCCAGTCACTGTGCCTCCCCTCCGGTCCCCTCCCCCTATGAACATCAGCAGTCTCTGCTTGTTACTCGGGGGACCAACGGCATATCTCTAGGTGGCGGGGGCCAAGCTTGCCCAGGAAGGTGCATGAGGCCAATGGGGATTGAACCCAAGAACCCCTGAATGCCACTTGCGTGCCTTACCAACTGAGCTAGGCCGCCCGGGTTGATTTGCGATGACCCCGGCCTCTTGTTACTTTTATAATGCAATTGAGTTTGCGGCATAACAGGGTAAGTCGGCGTCAGAGGGACACGCCGCAAATAAACGCAAACTTCAGGGGCATTTCGAAACATTCCCCAGAAAATAAAGAACAAAAAAGAAAAAGAAAAAGAAATTCCTCGCGACGCGGCGTCGGTCGCGGCCGTGCCGACACGCGCACAACGGAGAACGAACAGCCGATTTGATTTATTTCCAGTTCCAGACCCGGTACAGTGTACACCCGGTGCCGTGTGGGTTCCCCGTTTCCGAGCGAAGGTACCCTTATGGGATCGGTACGTGAACGAACGAGGGTCGCCGGTCGCCGGTCGCCGGTTTAGTCTGCAGTGACATCGGTATCTGTAGATTGGGACATGAGCGGGCTCGCGTGGGGCGAGTCCCGTTTTTTTCCGCTGCTATGGCGGTCATGGGCAGGGATGGGTTAGGACGCGGCGTAGGGGGTAATCGTGCATAAGGAGATGCGGATGCCACGTGGCAATCTCCAAGGAGCCACAAGTCGACTTCACCGAAACAGCG